TATATATATATATTATAATAAACACAAGGAGCAAGGATGAAAACAAAGATGTAGTCGATGTAGACATTATAAAGAAAAAAGATACTAAAGTAATAAATAATTTGACAAAGAGAAGCATAACTTTTCAGATTTTCTATTATGTTTTTTGAAGCATTTGAAGCTCTGAAACATTTTAGGAGGCCAATATTTAAAAGGGTCATAGGTGAACCTGCCTCGGATACATTATCTCAAACCAAGAGATGAACTTTCTTTCCTTTTGATTTATTTTAAATGTTGCCTTGGCATTGGCAACTAGCTGAAATAAAATGTTTTTATATTTTATTTCAGTTTATTTTATTTAAAGTGTGTTTTTGTTGTTTTCATTTCAGTTAATGATTGGCTCAACTTCACTGTACATACAGGATAATCACTCACTGATTAAAACTGTTTTATTAAAACATATGCAGTAACATATAAAGCACATACAAAAATGTTTAGGGAGAACTATATAGGAAAACAATGTTCTCTCAATGTCTTGTCTAACACAAACACTAAAACAAAGTGATGAGCTTATTTTGACAGACACTGTTGGAAACATAGCATAACTTGTTTCTTTATTGTGTTGGGATAAAAAGAGCAAAATAATATACAGACGAAACGGCTATGCGCCTGAAGCGGAACACAAGACTATTGATCTCGCATACAATCACACTTTCTGAAAATACTAACAAGCTTTTAATTTACTATCACCATTACATCAAAATTATGGGCAGAAATTTGTATACTTTCACAAAAAAAAAAACTGTCTAACACAAAACCACTGTAATAAATCTGATATTTAAACCGGATTGAGGAGCCCCATAATTAAGAAGAGCATCAAAATGTTAAGTTATACTCATTGTGTTCTTCTCCACGGAACTCTTTAGTAAAAGGCGAAAGAAACATGGAGTGTACTAGCTTTAAGAAAGCAGCAGTACGTACTTGAGTCAATAGTATGTTCCTGAAAACTTGTTTGATACTCATTGTTTTAGCATATTAGTTAAGTATAAATCATCTTTCATAATTAAACTGGGCTCATTGCTTGGTTGCACCACAATATGTGTTATTAGCCTGTCCTTTTGGATTAATCTGGTTGATGTTTGAAAGGCATGGTCAGCGGTTTGCCTTCTGGACGGATGAGGCCAGACACTTGCTCCAAGGAACTCTTCAGCCAGTGTACAGAGTGCTATCTCAGAGCAAATCCACATTCAGGCTGTCGATGACCACACTGCAGAGGTAAAGACACTGCTGGACCTCATTGTGAAGTTACAGGGATCTGAGGAGCATTTAGTGGTACTTAAACAATGTTCACATTTAATCATCATTACAAACAAACTCATAGTAAAGGTTCACCAATATGAGGTTCCATTTGTGTCAAAAATGAGTCGACTGCTTTGTGCTTTGTACTATACATTTGTCTTTGTCTATAGTCATTGCCTACTTGTTCAGGTAAATCAGTATATGTAGGCGTGTATGTTGTGTGTTGACGTCGTCTTAATCTGTCAAAAATATTTGTAGAAAAAATATAGTAATTTATCAATAGGTTTTTTTCATGTTCCAAACGGTTGTAGTACATTCCTAGTTATTAGACTGGCTTACTACAGGTGATATTTTGTCAATATCTCCTTTACAAATACATTTTTTTTTAAATTACTGTAATTTATCAAAAGGGTTTGTTTATGTTACAAAGGTTGTAGTACACTCTTAGTTACAAGACTGACTTACTACAGGTGAGATTTT